ACACCATCTAAAAGTGGGCAAAAGCATGACCAGAGTTTTCTCAAAAGAAGATAGACAAATGGCCAAAAATCGTATGACAAAATGCACAACAACACTAATTTTCAAGGAAATGCAAATTAAAACCACAAAGAGATACCACCTTACCCCTGTCAGAGTGGCTATTAATATTATTATTATTATTTTTTTTGAAATGGGATCTTGCTCTGTCTCCCTGGCTAGAGTGCAGTGACATCATCATAGCTCACTACAGTCTCAAACTCCTGGGCTCAAGTGATCCTCTTGCCTCAGCCTCCCGGGTAGCTGGGACTACAGGTGTGTACCACCACGTCTAGCTAATTTTTCTATTTTTTATTGAGATGGGGTCTCACTCTTGCTTAGGCTGGTATTGAACTCCTGGCCTCAAGCAATCCTCCTACCTTGGCCTCCCAAAGTGCTAGGACTAAGGTGCACACCACTATGACCAGCCCAGAATGGCTTTTATTATAAAGTAAAAAACAATAGATTTTGGTATGGATTTGGTGAAAAGGGAATGCTTATACACTGTTGGTGGGAATGTAAACTAGTAAAACTGCTACGGAAAGCAGTATGGAGATTCTTCAAAGAACTACAAGTAGACCTACTATTCATTCCTGAAATCCCACTACTGGGTATCTATGCAAAGGAAAAGAAGTCATTTTATAATAAAGACACCTGCACCCAAATGTTTATGGCAGCACAATTCACAATTGCAAAGATATGGAACCAACCTAAGTGTCCGTAAACTGATGAGCAGATAAATAAAATGTGGAATATATATACCATGGAGTACTACTCAGCCATAAAAAGGAATGAAATAATGTCTTTTGCAGTAACTTGAATGGAACTGGAGACCATTATCCAAAGTGAAATATCTCTGGAATGGAAAAGCAAATACCACATGTTCTCACTTACAAGTGGGAGCTAAACGATGGGTACACATGGTCATAACATGTTGTAATGGACATTGAAAACTAAGAAGGGGTGAGGGATAAAAAAACTCTACCCATCAAGTACAATGTAGACTATCCTGATGAAGGGTATACTTAAAGCCCTGACTTCAGCATGATGCCATTCATCCATGTAACAAAAAACACTTGTATCCCCTAAATTTTTTGGAGAAAATTAGACAAATGGATCTATATAAAACTAAAAAGTTTCTGCACAGCAAAGAAAACAATCAAAAGAGTGAAGTGACAACCTGTAGAATTGGAGAAAATACCTGCAAACTATATATCCAACGAGGGATTAATATCCAAAATATAAAAGGAACTCAACCCAACAGCAAAAAACCTAATAATCTGATTAAGAAATGGACAAAAGATCTGAATAGACATTTCTCCAAAAAAGACATATAAATGGCTAACAAGTACATGAAAAAATGCTCAAAGTCACTAATCGTCAGAGAAATGCAAATCAAGACTACAATGTCATATCGGCTCACCCCAGGCAGCATGGCTACTATCAAAAAGACAGAGTTACAAATGCTAGTGGGGGTGCAGATAAAAAAGAACTCTGATGTGGTGTTGGTAGGAATGTAAATTAGAACATCTCTTATGCAAAAGAGTATGGAGGTTTCTCAAAAAGTAAAAGTATAACCACCATATGATCCAGCAATCCTACTACTGGGCATTTATCTGAAGGAACGTAAATCAGTATATTAAGAGACATCTGCACCACCAAGTTTATTGCAGCACCATTCACAACAGCCAAGATATGGAATTAACTTAAATGTCCATACATCAACAGATGAATGGATTTTTAAAATGTGGTATACATACACAATGGAATAAAAAAGAACGAAATCCTGTCATTCGTGGCAACATGGATGAGCCTGGAAGACATTATGTTAAGTGAAACAGGTCAGGCACAGAAAGATAAAGACCACCTGTTCTCACTTATATGTGGTAGGTAAAAAAAAGTTGATCTCCTAGAAGTAGGGAGTGGAATTGTGGTTGATAGGGGCTGGCAATGGTTGGCGGGGCAGAGGATAGGGAGAGGTTGGTTAATGGGTACAAAATCACAGCTAGATAGGAGGGTACGTTTAGTGTCCTATAGCATCGTAAGGTGACTATAGTTAACAATAACTTAATGTATATTTTCAAGAAGCTAGAAGATTTTGAATGTTCCCAACACAGAGAAACGATAAATCTTTGAGGTGATGAATACACTAATTACACTGATTTGATCATTACACATTGTATACGCATATTGGAATATCACTCAGTGTAATTATTACTCATTGACTAAAAATAAAACAAAAAAAAGTCACTTCTGAAACACCCATTCCCCTTTGTTTTCTCCTTAGAACTTATCCCAGTGTGTAAGTCACAGCCTGTGTATTTCACTCACTTACCGTATTTATTGGCTGCCTCCTTCGTAAGAATGTAAGCTCCCCGAGGGCAGGAATTTTTCTCGGTTTTACCCATGAGAGTATTTCCTATACTAGAACAGGCCCAGCTCAGAGTGGGTGTTTGGAGTGTTTGTGGAATGACTGAATGATGAGTGACAGGTGGCAGGAGGACAGTGGTCAGTGAGACAAGGGCCCCCAGCACAGGGAGCAGCAGGGCCGGCCTGTCTCTCTGCAGCCTCTAGCTGCTCCCTTTAGCCTGTCTGGATCCCGCGGAAGGTCCTTGAGTGGGCAAAGCCCCCACGATCCTCCAGGGCGTGAATCATCGCAATATTTGCCAAATACACTCAGCTGAGTGTAGGGTGGGAGGAGCCCCCGGGCCTTTTTGGGTTGATTTCTGGGCTCCTGGGCCTTGCTTACCCTAGTGAGTAGTCAATAGACTTCCCAGTGATTCAGGCTGAATCACAGCTTCTCAGGCTCTGCGGGGGTTGGACTGGTTTCTCCCTGGCCCTGGGCAGGTGTCAACCATGGGGGAGAGAGAGAGAGAGAGAGAGAGAGAGAGAGAGAGAGAGAGAGACAGAGGCAGGTGGGTAGACTGAGGCACCCAGAGACCAAGGCAGAGAGGCACGGAGAGGCTGAGTCAGGCCAAGGAAGACGTTTGCATGGAGGAGATACTTCATCAAATAAATTATGAAAGAGAAACAGAGACAGGTAGAGAGGTAGAAACAGACAGTGCTCTCGCTCTAGGCCCTTGAGGTCAATGTGATCATGGAAAATGCAGATGCTGGATGGTGACAGACGCGGAGGGAGAGAGACAGAGAGACTGAAATGTAGGGACTCAGAATACCAGCTGAGCGGTAGTGTCTGGGCCCCTGGTTCTGGAGTCAGCTGCAGGGACGGAGTCTCAGCTCCTCTGCTAGCCAGCTGACATTCGGTGAATTGGGTAGCATCTTTGAGCCTCGGTCTCCTCATCTATAAAACGGGGGTTCTTATAGAACCTATCTCATAAGGTTGCTGTGCAGAAGCATCTACAACAGTGCCCGGGACACGGTAAGTGCTCAGTAAGTGGTAGCTACGGTTAGGACCATCAGGAGGGTGAGAGGCTGTGTAATTGGCAACAAGCGAAGGAGAGACAAACAAGTGATGAAGGAGGAGCTGGTGAGGCAGAGGGCAGAGCAGGTTGAAAAGAGAGAGAAGCGGCCCAGAGGAGGCAGCAGAGGGAGGCAGGCGTGAGTGGGGAGGGCAGGAGGCGGGGCCTCTCCTGGGGCCACTGGGGGACCGTCGAGGGAGGGGCTGGCAAAGGAGAGGGGCGGGGGGAGCCCTGTGACCAGGCTCAAGGTCCTGCTCGCCTCAGCGCCCAGAGTTGTGTCCAGCGGCCTGGTGCGGGAGGGGCTCTGAAGACCCCTGCGCTCCACCTTGACTGAGAGCAGGAGCCAGGGAGCACCTCCGCGCGCCCACTGCTGGCGGTTGCCAAGGTTACCTGCGGAGCTGCTCCTGAAGTGCCCACAGCTCCCCCTCCTGTCCCCTCAGCAGCTGCTCCTGGCGCTGGGCCAGCTCCTTGGCCTTCTGCAGCTCATGCTTGAGGCTCTGGAGGCGAAGGAGGGGGAAGGGGGCTGAGGGAGGAGGGCAGAGGCCCCACGCCTGGGGCTGACTTGATGGACATCCCCATGAGACCCCGGGCCAGGCCCTGGGGTGGAGGGCAGGACTCTGTGCTGGGGCTGGAATGCCTGGCCCTGTCCTAGGCCTTGCCTGGGGGAGCCTGGGGCCACCGCTTCTCCCTTCACCGCAGGACTGAGTTACAAAGCCCCAGGACCTGGAAGCCTGACTAGGGAGGAGGCCAAGGGAAGGCTCCCTAACAATCTTGGGGAACCTGGATAAGCATCTGCAATGAGAGCAGCTTAGGTGGGGTCTGCAACCGTGAACTTGGATTTTGGGAAGAGACCTGCCATAAAGAGAAACACGGACCTTGAGAACCCACGACTGCCCTGAAGAACTGTTGGGAAGGGATCCCAAACTCAAATGCCTGCAGGGGCTGGGCAGGAAGTATTGATGAGTAAAGTGGGCCTAGTGTGAGGCAATAGGGAAAGGTGGGGACTTTGGGGAACTGAAGAATTCATGGCTTTCAAAAGTCATCCCCAAGTAATAATCCTGTGTGGGCCAATAAAAATTGATCTGTGGGCTGAAATGACTCCTGGGCTACCACTGGAGACCCCCACCCGTGGGCCAGGTCAGAGGGGGGATTAGACAGGTAAGGAGCTCTATTGCTCTCACCTTGACCACGTCCTGCAGGGGCACCTCAGCCTGCTCCTCCCTCCTGGCCACACTGGTCACTCCTGTGTGCTCCTGTGGCTTCTCTGCGGTGGAGCCTTCCTTTGTTCCCAGGCCCTGGAGGACCCAGGACTCCCCCAGAGTGCTCGGCCCCTCCCACTCCTGCCTGCTCCCTAGTGTTGCTTCCTCTGTCACCCCTCTGGGGCCGGAGGCCAGCAGCCTCCGGACATGACCCCACTCTGCTTCCCCTTCATGAGTCCCCTCTGTGGTTCCCTGACCCTCTGCACCTGGCAGAAGCCCTCTGCCCTCAGCCTCCAGCCCTCTCACCTCCCTCTGAGCCCCCTTGGCTCCCTGCCCCTGTCCCTGGATGCTGGAGTTCTCCAGGAAGATTTCAATCCACGGGGCTCCCTCCTCCTGGTCCAGCTGAAGTTCCTCCCCCTCTGGTTCCCACATGCTCTGGGAGGGTCCGAGGCTCCTGGAATCTTCTCTCTTCTTTTCCAAAACGTGGGGAAGATGCCTTTGTTGTTGGGACCCAGGAAGTCTAACCAACTGGTGTCCCCTGGGTGCATCTTGCAGACAGCTGGCTTGACTGGTGTGTGGCTCGTCCAGCTGGACTCCTGCGGGACCTTCATATGCAGCTGGGATCTAGAGAGAAGCCCCCAGACCTGTCATCCCTCTCAGTACCAATTCACTGACCTGGTGCATGGGAGAGG